GCTCTTCATGAAGCTGCTTATTATGGACAGCTGCAGTGCATTAGGATCCTGGTCAGAGGTCAGGACACCTACTGCTTTCTGCTTCTCATTAAGCCTCTAACAACACCTCTTACCTGATTCAGCTGTTAAAGGTGATGTTAATCACCAATAAAGCTTTACTTTGTGTTTTGTTTGATTTGTCATTTTTATTTCACATTTAAAAAAAAAAACTTCTGCTTGAACAGAAGCTTGAGCTACGGTTGGGCAAACCCTCCAGTTTTATGTCTGTAACATGACATCTGACTTCAGATGTTTCTTCTTCAGATTTTCAGCTTCATTCACCTGCTTATGTTTTTATGTCCACACTGTTCATTCATGATGGAAAAATGTGCTGATATGCAACACAATGTTAGGCTTCTTTATTAATTTGCTGTAAGGGTGACATGATCATAACCTTCTGGGAAATCCAGATTTTTGTTTCCTGTACATGGACCCTTTGTACAGGTCCATGTACATGTAGTTAAAATAGTTAACTTGTTACAAGACGAGATAAACATTCCTTCATAGCTCTCCTGAAACACCAAGTGCTGGCTATGTCCTCTAGAGAGGGTAAGGGACAGCTGATGATCTTTTGTGCTGTCTTAATGACTCTCTGCAGGTTCTTCTTGTCCACTACCAAGCAATTAACATATGAAACTGTGATTCAGTAGGTGAGGACACTCTCTGTGGTGCTGTGGTAAAAAGCTACCATTAGGTTCTTATCCAGATGGTTTCTCCTCAGCATCCTAAGGAAGTGGAGTCTTTGTTGCAGTTTGTCAGCCAGGATTCCATGAATGATTGTATTGACTGATGATGGTACTCAAGGTGGCAGAGTTCTTTTTAAAAAAATAACTCAGCTCTTATGTAAATACTAGGCCTCTTAGGTGAGTATGTTTATCCAATCAGTTTTCAGGAATCCCTACCAGCTTAACATTCTTACTTAAATATGGTCACTTTTTACTTAAAGGAAAAAAAACCCTGCAAACCAATAAGTGAGGTCAGAGAGGATATGCCTGTTATATAGTC